GGATCAATCAGAAAAATCCTTTCAAGGCCATCTTAGAGGTACACACTTGAAACACTTGAGGCTAAGCACGGATATTATTCGAACTCGAGAACCGCTGCACGCCATCAGCTGCCAGTGCAGAACGTTACCGCCCTCGAGCAACTTTGGAAAATCACGTTTTGTTGTGGTCAAGCCCAGCAAATTTGCACACCTTGGGTTGCGCGCTAGAAGCTTGATCATCATAGTTGGGAAATCTAGTAAATGATGGGGTTTCTTGATCATGGCCACTTAATTTATGTTCCTGAACATTAACCCGGCGACCGTCATCATGTTCCAAATCAACCTAGTTTGCCCTCTTATGCTATCCGTGTCAGTCAGCGCCAGATGTGCTGTAAGAAGAAAGCCTGCATATTCCACTTCACCGCCCAGATTTAGCACGTTGCTACACCTAAACCCTAAACCCCAAAAATCCCAGAGCCTGAACCCCAAACCCGTAGCCTTAAAGCCTATGAAGGAGATTACAGAGTTGAAGCTCTACGAAAAGGGGCACTGAAAGAGTCTAGCCCTGCTTATAGCAACAGGAAGGGCAATTCTTCCAGTACCACGGAATACCTGAACAAAGGGATGACTAGAACAACTTGGCAATCATGTTAAGAGGGTGATCACCAGGAACCGTGATTCAGTAAAGAAAGGCTGAAGACTTCAACATGATTTTCGGGCACGGCCTACAACCCCCATCTGTGTCCATGCTTTGGAACCTTCTTTTGAGGCTGAGGCTTATGGTAACACAAGCAGCGTGATCTGCTTGAATTCTGTCGTAACCATTGGCCCTGGGCATAACCACATTACATTCTCTTTACATGATTATTTGTGACCAAGCAAAACATCCTCTCAAAAGACAGTCGAATTGCTTCTGATGTGGAGCTCTGAAACCCTAAACACTAAATCCTAAACCCTAAATCCTAAACCCTAAATCCTGAACCCTAAATCCTAAACCCTAAATCCTAAACCCTAAACCATAAACGCTACCCTAAGGCCTGGCCACTGAACAGCAGTGCATCTCAAACCCTGCACTACCAACCCCCAAACCTGTTATCCCTGAAGCTTAGGGGTTATACAAAGATAATGGACAAGAACATGGAAACTACTAGACTATAATAGGGTATATATTGGGGTTATATTGGGATAATGGAAAATCACATGGAAACTACAATTTTGGGTTTATCATGTGTTTAGGAGTTTAGGCCTTCTGCTCTACGGTCTAAACGCCGAGACACATGAGGGTACAAAGCATCACCACTGCTGTGATAACTCCCGACAGCTGCGTCAGAGCGCCTCTTATAGAGCTTGTCTATCAATAGGCTTGGCATGTAGGTTCACGTTTTGGCCGAACCAATCAGGGTGTAGGACGTGAGTTGGGGTTGTTGGATACAGATGTATGGCACTGGGTAAGAGGCCTTGCCAGTGAGGGCAGGATTTGCAGGGGTTCCCAAGAACATCAAACTGGCACATCTCCAGCTAACTTACAAGTCTTCAAATGGAAAATAAGGCCATTCTGATTATCTCCCTCCACGCAAACAACCATTTGACACGTGGGTGGGGCGGTCTTGTGCAGTTGGAGCGTGCAACTCGAACACAAAGGCGTCCATGCACTTCGCAGAAAACCTGTCACAAGTGATGGGCGAGTGCCCAAGTCTCGAAGAAACATGTCAAGAAGTCCCCTTCTAGGTGGCTGTCTCTACGAAGGCATGCCCCACTAGCGAAGACGAGCACCTATGACACGTGCCGCTTGCTCCCCAACTGACACCATGACCCCTGAATAGGGTAACCGATGCCTGGCACTTCATGACAAAAGTATGATTCAAAAGTCACATTTCTGACTATTCCTAATCTCAAACCAATGGGTTAAGCTGAATCTCACCTACGCAACGCAGAAGCAACTTGACAAATGAACGACAACATGGACAGTGGAATTATATCTCAAACATAAACATCAGCCTGCCAACTTCATCTACAAACCGCACCGTCTAAGCAACATCCTACAAGCAACGTGGATGCGCAGGCTCAGTAAATTCTGGGCTTCTTACACAGTGGAACTCAAATCCCAAAACTCTAACTCTACTTGTGGGCCTACGGCTGTAATAACCTACTTAGGTATGTACGTATAGCCCAGATATGTTGACCTCCCTAAATCCATTGGTACGGCTATAAAAATATACTCTGATTTCCAGTATCTACCCATGGAGCACTGATGACCCTAAACCCCAAACCCTAAACCCCATCTTCAAGAACTTTGGCCTGTGGAGTTATTCACAGCGGAGCGGGAGAAACTGCACAGCTTCACACTCAAAGAAGTTGGGCTTAGTTTTGTTTCGGGCTTCGAGTTTGGTGCTTAGGGGCATAGAAATGCTGTGTTTACACGAGGGGTATATGGAGATCATAGGTCAGGGTTCAAAGCTATGCGAGCACGTGCTCCAGGTCAGTGTGACTAATTCGAGGATCCTTAACATGGGGATGGTGCTAATCATCCTCATCATCATCATCATCATCATAACCATCAGCATGATCATGATACTGAACACAACCATCATCACCTACGTCCTCATGATCAGTATCACTGTATGCTTGTAGCCCGCTTCTTGCTGCACGAATCACACTTGCCATTCGAAGTAAGTTTCCGGTTGTAGAATTCTTCGTTGCTCTCGTCCTTAGCGCTTTTTGCTCATCGCTTGGCAACAGCTATACATGCATACGCGAGCCTCCCACGCATAGACACAAAGAAGACAGAAGTACTCATGAACTACAGTATGAGAACTTGCATCTTTGATTCACGAAGCTACTGCTGACTTTGAACGGAACCTTTTCAATAGTCGAGGTATGCATCAGATTCCCACTACAGACCTCCACGGTCCACAATCTGGGTTACTGATAACGAACTCAAAGTAACTTACCATAATGGGTGGCTATTGTAATCATAAACTGAGCTGCCATTATGGGTAGATATATTGTAATTACTATGGTTTAATATGGTTTCCCAAAATATAGTAACTTGAACTATGTTCAATGTCGACGAAGGAATCCTTTTGGCGCCGCAGCCTCCCTCTCAGAAAAGCTGACGCAAGCCGAAACCAGGCAGGCTCTATGTCATGGGTTCAACTAGTACCCGCCTCTATACTACCCCCCAGGTTCCCCCCTTAATTAACCTTAATTAGGCATAACTATCCCTAACTAACCTTAATGAAGGTGGGAACCTAGGGGGGGTAGTAAAGAGGCGGGTACTAGTTGAACCCATGACTATGTCTCGCCCCCTAAGAGTCATCCCACGCTTTGCCATACACTCACCCACAGCCTGCAACCCTGAAACGCCCCCAACCCTGACCATTAAACCATACACCTGAATGACTGCACTGACTCAAAGCCAGAAACCCTATAGCCCCCCTTATAAGTAGATAGAAAATAGCTTTGGGTATATGAAAATAAGATCCCCATGTACCCCATATTCTATCTACCTAAGGGGGATTATATCCCTAAACCCTAAACCCTAAATGATAGTTTCCATTTTCTTTTCCATTATTCCGATATCACCCCATATTCTATCTCCTTGGGGGGGACTTCTACCCCCAAACTCCACTGCCACAGCAGCCCTAAACCCTGAACCCTAAACCCTGAACCCTAAATCCTAAACCCTAGCCTAAACCCTAAAACAGCCTGCCAGTGACCGGGTAGCAGGAAAAGGCGGCTCCCACCAAATTGGAGATGCCCAGAGCAAGCATCTCCTGTCCCGCCTGCATATACTGATACTTGGAAATCCCTGGGTTTAGGTCTTTGGGGTTTACGGCTTAGGGATAATAGGGTTTAGGGGTTCAGAGCTTGGGGATTATAGGGTTTAGGGGTTTAGGGCTTAGGGATTATGGGGTTTAGGGCTTTAGGCGTTAGGGTTTAGGTCTTGCAGTTTAGGGTTCAAGGTTTAGGGCACTAAAAACCAACTTGTAGCTGTCCTTGACATCGATGTCCCCGGACATGACCATGCTGCACAGTTGTAAGTTGAAAGCAGGTCATAACCCTACATCTTGAACTGTGCAAGTAGAGGCACGGGTCGTGAGGGCTTAGGCTTTAGGACTTTGTGGTTTAGGGCGTAGGGTCCTGAAGAATTGGAATAGAAAGTCGGTTTTGGGATGTAAGTGTTTGGGGTTTGGGGGCTAGATAGGTTGCAGCGCTCACAGACCCAACAGATCTGAGCAGCAGAGAATCCGAATGAACACGAAATGGAAAATGGGACTATAGACAGATTGCAAAAGGATTAGTATAGGTATTGTAACTTACTGATTGTTATGCTCTAGGTTATGCTAGGGAAGAAAGGAATATTATCGCCGTATATTTCCTGCATAATATACTCCCTTATCCCTATTAAAAAGCAGACAGATAAGCAGGGGCCAGAGCAACTTGCACTAGGCTTTGGGGTATATCATGCTGCATCACCGTAACAGAATTACTGAAGGACCCGATAACCTTACTATCAGCCTTTGCTAACTAATCTGCGCAATGGACCTGCCACCCTACTTCTGGCTCTGTTGTCGAATCTTCTTCGCGATCCTTCCTCACATTGCCGGAACTTCTTACATAGGCCGACATCCCTGAACCCAAACACCTGCGCTGAAAAATGTACGCGGAGAGTTCAGTGTCAGGTTATGTTAAGCCTCCGGGCCGAGTTTTCTTGCATAAGTCGAAAAAGAATCCAAAGAATGCTTAGAGGCTGTTTCAAGCAAAGTGCGTCTCCTTCTATACCCACCAGAACTTGGACGTCTATGTCATCCCAAGACATGGACGTAGGACTTCAAGAAACCAACCCAAGACATGGACCCTATGCACTCTGGGCCCTGACCCGTGTATAGCTCGCGTGACAAAACCCTTCGGGTCCAAGTACCCAATGAACATATACTTTCCCGAAGCCAGTGCTACAGTTCCTCGTAGCAAAATTGAGTACATGGACCCTTAGGGAAAAGGTTTTGGAGGGCCCTTTTTCAGGCGGTTCTGGCGATATCGGTCGCATCTGAGCCTTCTTGCTTGGCCTCAGCAGGATAGGTTTGGGTCTTGAATGTAGGGGTCTAGGCATAGGGTTTACGGGTGTAGGGTGTATGGGATTAGGGTTGCTTGTAGGGCAAACCTAACCTTAAGCAGATACAATGTATATTATGGGCGTTAGGGCCCCATGTCAGCAACATTTATGTAAGCAGATCACCTCATAACGCTTATATATGTATATTATGAAGCCCCAGTTTCGATTGAATCTTCCATTTGATTCTCCATTGTTGCTGGTAATTTTTACCCCAGGGGTTGGGGTTTGGGATCTCGGTCCTATGGATTTGAGGTTCTGAGGTTGATGGGCCTCGTGCTCTCCGAACATTCTGCATCCCTTGTTGGGCGTCCTGTGACAAGGGTGCTCTGTCTAGAAACTTGAATAAGAGCCCCGGTCATAAACCCTAAACCCTAAACCCCAAACCCTATAAACCCTAAACCCTAAACCCTGGTTCAGGGTGTATGGGCCTGGGTTGAAGACGTCCAGGTGCGGTAGTCCCGGCAAATTCATGAAGGTTTTAGGGTTTAGGGTTTAGGGTTTAGGTATGGGTATTGGGCTCAAAACGACCAGAATCGCTGGAAAGTCAGACGCCATCAAGCAGTACAAACATCAAGTTTAGGGGTTAGGGTTTAGGGGCAGTCCAACAAATACTGCCCAAAATGTCAAACTCCAAGTAGGGAGACAAAGCAGAATGAAATACCTAAGGGTCCAAGTACCTGATAGCCATATAGTTCCCCAACAACTGTATTGCAATTGCTATTACCTGAATCCCAATTGCCAAATGATTGGGTACTTGGACTGTAAACCCTGAAGACCTGTATATACCCCCGTATACCCCTATATACCTCTATATATCCTGTTAAAGGACCTAAATATTGCGTACTTGGATCCTACCCTCGACTCTATATACCCCTATATACCCTAAACCCTAAATCCTAAATCCCTTCAAAGGGACCTAACTGTTGGGTACTTGGACCCTCTAGGTTACAGCAAAACCAAGAACTGCGAGAGAGCCCGACCTTGCTGTTAACTGTCCATTGGTTCGGGGTTTAGGGGTTCAGGGTTTAGGGTTTAGGTGTTTAGGTGTTTAGGGTTTAGGTGTTTCGGGGTTTCGATGTTTAGGGTTTAGGGGTAGGGAGGGGCGTGCCCTGGACAGGTGCCCACGACACGCCTTTCCGTAGGGGTATAGGGTTTAGGCCATGGATCCTTGTGGTAGGATTCTTCTCGTAGCTCTGCATGTATTCCCCAATATTTCTACTAGTTCCATGCTCGTTTCCATCTCATTGTTTGCCCCTAGAAAATGCCTAAGCAGACTTCATTTCCATGTCACTGTTTGCATCTGGTTCTGCTTTATAGTAATTTGACTTGTCTTTTCTCTCATAAACCCTAAGCCCTAAACTGTAGTTTCGTTGTCTTTTCCATTCTTTTGTTCACTGCTAACCAGCGCAAGGCGAAGCTGCCAACGACAGCTACAACATGCCTCCAAAGACACAGAAAACTTGAAGTTAGTGATTTACTACAAGGTACTTAGGACCCCTACTACTCGGTACCTATAATAGGAGTATAAGGGAATCCCAAAGGGTTAAGGGTCTAAGGTCCAAACTAAGTCCCAAGGCGTTCGGGGATTAGCGTAACAGCCCCTTAAACCCTCCTTACTCCTAAGCACTGGTAGCAGTCTCCAAAATTGATTAGGGTGTCCCTGAACTATAGTCCCACCATAAACTTTACCCTCAGGGTCCAAAGTATAAAAGAAACTCATATTCCAAAAACCTTTGTAGCAATTACTAGTACCCTGGGCCCTTAACCCACAACCCCTTAAACCCTTGAAGCTCTTGAACTTCCCCCTCAACCCTAAGCCCCGAATGTTCAAAGTAAGAAGAGCAAGGTCACAGCAGCCGCAGCAGCTTTCTTTGCCGCGCGCTCAGAGTAGCCCCCAGGGCGTGCAATGTGATCTTCTGGCCTTTTTTGCAAGGTTTAGCGAATCAGCCGTTCCGGGGTGTGGGGATTGAGGGGGTATGGGTTTCATGAATTTGAGCGGCTCTGGGATTGCAAGGTTTCGGGCTTTTGCAGCCGTGGGGGCTTGGGAAGTTCGGAGTTCGAGGTTCGAGGTTCCTGGATCTGCAGCGGGGGCAGGGAAATGACTAGGTCCTGAGGGGTATACAGTATAAATGTGGTTGCACAAGAAGATTTACAAGGATCCACTGCCCACTATGTGAGCTACAATCTAAACTCGTAGTATCCCTCTTCGTAGGCCTTTAATGCTCCCCTATATAATCTCCTACAGTATAAACCCCTTTAAGGAGTTTATAGAATGTAGCTTATGTAGGACAAGGTGCAGCGTCGACCACTCAGGTCCTGGCCGGCGATCTCCAAAATGCCTCAGGATAGGGATGTTCTGGGGGTAGGGTAAGGTCTAGATCCCAAACCCTAAACCACACAGTAGAAGCAGGGACAAAAGCCTGCTACAGATACTTTATCCTTCTGGTGCTTCAGCAGGACTGGCACTGCATCCTCATAATGAGCCTTCATTGCCCCTTTGTACAAGCCTTTCATTATCCACTTGGTGTGGATGTCAAGCGGCAAAACAAAGTTTTTCCAGACTCCCCAGATTTTGGGGGGCCCCAATACAGACCCCAATATAACATGATCCTCATTACAGGCCCTATTTGGGAAACCCCACTGGGCTCCAGAGAGACTTACAGCAGGTTAATGTGTCGCTGTTACCCTAAGGGTCCATGTACTCAACAGTTGGGCTCCCTTTAATCAAGAGGATATTTTGGGGTATATATAGGGATATTTAAGACTGATTAGCGCTTAGCTGTGCCGAATAATTGGGTACTTGGGGCTTTGGTACTACTAGTTGTTGTACAGGTTTCGGGGAAGTAAATGGGTTCGAGGTACTTGGACCCTTAGGGTTAAGAAACTTCAACAAAAGCATAATGACGAAACCCCTTTTTTGACTGTGAGTCCTAAACGCTGAATCCTGTAAACTAGTTGACGTTTCTTTCAGCAGAGCAGCGCAAGGTTTTTGGTTTTTAAGATGTGGAGTTCCAAGAGCTCTGCGCCGGTTGAGGCTCTATTCAAGATGATCCTAGCCTGAGTAAGATAGCAAGAGATACATGGAGATGTGTACATATATATATATATGTATGTATTCTAGAGCATATGTCTATGTATATATATATATACACAACATGACACGGAAACCGGGGCTTCTGTAGGGCTAAAAACCCTATAATCAAACCCTAAACCCTAGGGGTACTGGGCCCACTGTCTCTTGCTTCGCTGAAGCACCGGCTTCGGTAGTCCAACATGGCGGGGCTCTTCCTGCTTCGAGTAACTTGGGATTTAACAGAGAATGGTTTAGGGGATAGCCGGTTTAGCGTTTAGGGGTTTAGGGTTTATGGGCTTAGGGGTTTAGGGTTCAGGGATTTGGGGTTCAGGGGTTTAGGGTTTAGGGGTTTAGGGTTCGGGGGCTTAGGGGTTTGGGGGTTAAGGATAGGGTTTTTGGGATTGAACGGAGAATCGAATTGAAAACAAAATGCAACATGAAATGGAAGCTGAGTTGACATCGGGGCTCTTAAGGTTTGTATGTGGAAAGGGGCCTAGAGGATCAACATAGACGGATTGGGATAGATTATGCTAGAGCTGTTGAGGGCTTGTGGGGGAATGGTCTTGGGAACCACCCACTCTTCTACAGTGACTTTGTGTAGGGCTTGGGGTATAGGGCTTGAAGGCCCAGGGCTCATATGAGCCATAGTCTAAACTCCTTAAAGGGGGTTATATAGGGATTATATAGGGGGGTATTAGAGGGCTTATTAAGGGGGATACTAGGAGTTTAGACAGTAGCTCATATCAGCGGTTTACCCCCTCTTGCTGTGCACTTAGAGTGCGTGTTATGAATTGCTTCCGAGCCCAAGCTGTGTAAAGCTGATCCGTGTTCTTAAATTTCGGTGTGTCAAGGGAAATCTGAATACTTAAAAACACGCTGACAAGGAAGACTCTCTAGCTAGCAACCATACAGGACTCGGCCAACAACTTGCCTAAACCTTTAGCCTAAACCTTAAATCCCGAACCCTAAGCGCTAAATCCTAAACCCGAAATTCAAGATTTCCTGAGCCTAACACACTAAGCGCAGCATTCCAAACCTTGTCCGGAAATCCACTCGCTCCTCCAAACAACGAAGCCCTCAACCCTGAGCGCAAAGCTGTGAACTGTGAACCCCGAACCCGGATCCCCAAATCTTAGATCCAAAGCCCTAAGCTCCAACCGCTGAACCCCATGATCACTACGTAGCGCTAACCTTTTAAAACATGTTTTGGCTGGAAAGGCCTCGCAGCTTGCATGAACTCTTCCTGCAGGAGCACTGCAGCTGACTAAGGCAAGCGTGCATGGTCATGGGGCTGTATTGGCGTTTCAGGGTTCAAGGTTTGGGGTTTAATTAGAGCTGAGGGTGTAGAGTATAGGGTCCGAGGAGGCTAGACTAGGCCTCTTAATCATCAGGACCAAGCTTTTGAAGGGGTTGTCAGATACGACAATGTATATTCCGCAAATGGACTTGTATTTGCTGATCACCACACAGGCTGTGATGGTCCGTGGAATTTCGGGCCTTGTACAATCTGATCTCTACCTAAACCCCACAAGTATGTAAAATAATGGCCTTTATGGGTCCAGGTAGCAGTTTTCACGAACAGGAAGAGGCAGGCTTTGGAAGTTTTGGGAAGATTGGGCTTCAGGTCATACGGAACGTGCCCATGCCTCGAACGCTTCGAGCGCATGGGTCTTTACCCGGCCCCTAGCATACTGTGCAAGAGCAACATCCCCACAACGACTGTGCACCATTCGCTGAACACTTGCAACTGAAGCACGCTGCTTTGGTATGCGAGCCCTTCCTTGTTTGCTTTAGCATCTTAGGCGCATTCTCCGACGCTAAAAATCGCTCCCGCTCGTATATACTGTTTATCGCAGTCCCTCGAAACCTGCTTAGCTCATACTATATAGGTCGTGGACATGAAATCGAGCAACTCTAACGGATCGAAGTCGAGGGTGCTTGATAACGGAACGAGACCTCGAAAAGGAATTACCCTCTAAAGTTCCCAAGGTACCTCCTCCAGAAACCTAAGCCCCGGACCCTGAATCCTCAGCTCTCAACGCCCTAAGCCATAAACCCTACATGATAAACCCTAAATCCTACCCAGAGGGTCCAAGTACTTACCCAAAACCAGTACTATATTCCATATTACCCAAATCCCAAGTACCTAATTATTGGGTACATGGACCCTAAACCCCCCCTCATCCCCCCCCCCCTGCTCGCCCTAAATCCCTAAATCCCTAAACCCTAAACACTAAATGCTAAACCCTAAAACCCTAAACCGACAGTCCGAGCCGCCCAAGCCGTCTGAGCGTCTTTGTTGTCTCGCAGGACGGCTTCCCGCAGCTGAAGCAGCTGAGCCACCTCTGAGGGTTTTGAGGGTTTAGGGGTTTTAGGGTTTTAGGGCTTTAGGGTTTTAGGGTTTAGGGTTTAGGGTTTAGGGTTTTAGGGTCTAGGGTTGAGGGGTTTAGGGTTTAGGGGTTTTAGGGTTTAGGGGTTTTAGGGTTTTAGGGTTTTAGGGTTTAGGGGTCTTAGGGTTTAGGGTTTCAGGTTTGGGGCTTAGGGTTTGGGATTTAGGGCTTAGAGGGACTTTTATCGAAGCGAGGTCTGTTGGAGGCTTTTTTATACACAGACAAGGTGTGTATACAAATCTATGCACCCATGAAATCAATTGCTCGCATGAAGGTAGGCCTCGGGATATACGTCGGGTGTTTGCTCTGGAGGGATTGCCTCTGAAAATGAAAGCAGGTGCTTCTAAAGCGCATAGAGCCGTGTCTGCGCAAGGGTCAGAAGCACATGCGGCGACTGGGGGCGCCTAAGCCCAAAGAAATGGGATATTCTAAGCAACTTTCACCATCCCTAGCGAGACAAGTGGGGTTTGCTTCAATTAGGGGTGCCATTTCGGGGTTTCCCATAATAGGCACTATAGTACTTCGGGGTCTAGATTGGGGTCCCCCTATATATGGAAATTACCGAATAGGCTAAAGAGGTGTTCTTTGATAGGCCTGGAGCTCCAAAGTATGGTTGACGAGGGCATACCCCTAAACCCCAATCCCTAACCCTAAGGGTCCAAGTACCCAATACTCATTTACTTACCGAAAACCAGTACTATAAGTACTATTACCCAAATCCCAAGTACCCAGTTACAGTATTGGGTACCTGGACCCTCTGGGTAAACCCTTATCTCTAAACCCTGCTGTATGAGTGAGGCCTACCTTGTGGCGAACCCTTCAGAATTGACATTGGCAACCCTTGCTCAACTATAAGCCGCTTTTGTACTACTTCCCCTATATGAGGGTTTCGGGTTAGGGCTTTTCCAAAATTAGAGGTACCATTTTGGGCGGTCTTTATAGCAAGGATTAGAATAGTTTGGGGTCTACAGTTCGGTACTCCTATTCAGGGAAACTACCACCTAGGGTGAATTAAGCCTAGCTATACGAGCGAACCTAGTATAGTGAGGGCGGTATCGGAAGCCATGAAACTAGGCACATGCCAACAGTGCATGCATTTTGGGCTTACACAGTTCTGCCCACTTTTTTTGTGAGAGGCCCCACTGCCCACTAGTACTGCTGAAACACGGTAGGAAGTGTACTGGTTCCTTGTCACACAGGAAACTCAAAAATTGAACTCCCCGACTCCGGCAAAGCATACGAACCTGTCCTGACGGCCACTTCGACGATAAACCCTATGCGCCTGCCCCCACAACCTTAAAACCCAGAACCCTTAAACCCTTATACCCTAAACTCTCGATAAACTCTATATATTCCCTAGAAGCCCTTTTAAAGGGACCCCTGAAACCCAAGCCCCAGCCTTTGGGGAGGGGTCAGCAGATGGTGCCTTCTCTACCAGGAAGTTCGCATGGTGCACCTAAAAATGGTCATTCCAAAAAGCGAAGTTCAGGGGTCTAGGGTTAAGGGTTTAGGATTTAGGGTTGAACTTTTGGGCTTGGTTTACGGACATGTTTTAGGTTTGGGCAATATGAGCAAGCATCTAAGTGGTGGCTTGTTGACTGGGCTTCGATGCTTCGCAGCTATTGGGCCGATGACCCCGGCCATAGAAGTGGGTTTCCCTTAATTAGAAGTACGGAGTCTCTTATAACAAGGAGCATAGTAGTTAAGGGTCTATATAAATTGGAATCCCCTTATGTTGGGAAACGACCATCTCTCACGCAGGGAGGCGTGTCCCCAGAGGGCCCACTACCAACTCCTGTCCTACATTGATTGCCCAACAACTGAGAGGGGTTGTAGGTACCCAAGACAATTTGAACTGCGGCAATGCAATCCTGAAGCCGCATTGTTCGGGTACTTGGACCCTCAGGGCAAATAATTCAATTGCTTTGCGAAGAGATCGCAACTTTTCGAAGAGCCATTTGAAGAAGAGCAATGAAGGAAACGTATGGTTCAAACTTCTGCGTCAGAGTTTCTCACAGTTACCCCATATGAGCTATAGTGTAAACTCCTAGTATCCCCCCTAATAACCTCCATTATCCTCCATTGTAGTAATTCCCTATATAATTCCCTATATATCCCCCACTTAAGGAGTTCAGACTATAGCTCATATATTTCTCAAGGAATCCCCACATTCTCCTGTTAATGCCCCTACACCCCCAGGCTCTGTCAGCTGCAAGGCACTGAGAGAACTACACCTGCTCAGTTGCACTTTGGGTCAGCTAAGGCCCCATACAAGCACAAACATCCCAGATGGGGTCTTACAGTTTGGGGTTCAAACGGTTGGGGTTTACATAGCCCCGACATAGCCGTGGGCCTACCTTCCTCTGAATATTCAATACCCTGGAACAGCTTACCGGATTTCTACGTCAAGTCACCATTCCACCCAACAAAAAACGGAACGCATGAAGTTCAGTTGCTCGACATGTTACATACACAGATCTAAATCCAGTTCTGGGTTGCTGTAACGTTTTGCAAAGCCCGAACGCTTATCCAGCCCTGCGTGTGCTATGGCTAGGCTGGCATGCAAAAATGGAAGCCGTCCCCAGCAAGCTGGAACATGAACCCTGCAAATGCTGGGCCGCACCATATGAAACCCAAACGGGCTATCATGTAAACTCCATAGCATATGCGTACTTAGACCGTGAAGCGCGTAATTCGACCCTATAGATAAAACCTAAACCCTCAGCCCCATAAACCCTAAACCCGACATCCTAGACCTAGAGCCTTAACTCGTTAACCCTAACTCTAAGCGTCCAAACAGACGAATGTAGGTAATGCCTTCAGACTTTGGACCCCAATGTAGGTAGTACTCATAGAGCTGAGGGCCCTGTGCAGGTATTGCTTATAGACTTCAAGTCCCATAGAACCCCTATATAACCACTCTTTCCATTGGGTTTTCCATGTACTCTGAACCCTGAACCCGAAACCCTGAATCCTAAACCCTAGACCCTAAACCCTAAACCCCAAACATCCATTCTTAGAGGTGATATCCCTAAACCCCGAAAGCCTACACACTAGACTTAGACCCTAAAGGGTTTAGGGTAAACCCTCATTACCTAAAGTCTTAAAACCTAAACCCTTAATCCCTAAATCCTTGAGCCCTCGACCCTTAATCCGTAATCCCTATACCCTAAACTGTACAGCCTAAACCCTACACCCTGATCCTTAAGTCTAAATCCTTCAGCCTAAGGCCTTGAGCCCTAAATCCTTAAACCCTAAACTCCAAACCCTAATCCCTAAACCCTAATCGCTAGACCCTGTTCCCTAAAACCCTTGAAACTTTAACCTTGAATCCCTAAATCCATAAACCCTAGACCCGTCATCCGAAAAAAAGAATCCTTAAACCCTTGAACCCTAAACACCCAAAACACTTAAACGCTAAGCTGGTTTCCCTGGTTTTGCTGGTTTCCTTGCCCAGACCGTGGGAAGCCTTTAATCCCCAAACCCTTACACCCTTAAACTCTAACCCTAAACCTCTAAACCCTAAACCTCTCAACCCTAAATCCCTAAACCCACAACCCTTAAACTCTAAACCCTAAAACTCTGGTTTAACTTTCTCCTCTCCGAGGCGCCATTAGCGGCTTCGGCAGCGGCCCGGAGAAGGCCATGGAAGATGCCCAGATGCTACCTTGGGAACTTAGGGATAAAGGGTTTAGGGATTTAGGGATGTAAGGTTGAAGCCTTGGGGGGACTTAGAGATAAAGCACTTAGGGATTTAGGGTTCAGGTGTTTTAGGGTTTAGGGTTTAGGGATATAAAGGGCATAGGGGTTCAGGGTTTAGGGGCTGGGCTTTAGGGATAAAGGGTTTAGGGTTTAGGGTTCACGGATTAGGGTTTAGGGATAAATGGTTGAGGGTTTAAGAATTTAGGTTTAAAGGGCTTAGGGATTGTGAAAGGGTTTAGGGTTTAAGGATATATGAGTTAAGGATTGTAAAGGGCTTACCACTGGAGGCTAGTAGGTGATAAGGGAATATCTTATATGGGGATTGCACAGGGGTTATATTCCATTATTCCCCACGAACTAGCAGTAACTCGGGCTTGGAGGATTGGGGATCGAGGGTTTACCTGTGACCTCAATTACTCATAGTTTTCTGAATTATACCTATTCATGAAGTGTAGTTACTATTAAACCGTAGGTAAGTAGGGTTGGAGGTAGAGTCTTAGGGATCAAGGCTTCAGGGTAAAAGGATTTAGGGGGTTAGGGGAAAAGGATCGAAGGATTCAGGGTTTAAGGGTGTAAGGATTTGGGGATTTAGGGCATAGGCCTTGCGGGAAAGGGTTGAGTGTGTAGGGATCGGGATTAAGGGCTTCAAGGCTATGGTTTAGGAAGCACATGAGCAAGCTTCACCACTTTAATCGTTGACCTAGCATACATCCAAAATGCTGTGTGGTGTTTATGTATTGCTGCAGCCCTTGACCCTAAATGACCATGATATGAACCCTCATTTTGGCTAACCCTGCTGCACCTATCGACCCCGAACCCCCTAAAAATCTGGCGGATTCGCTTGGCCATCTTCGCCAGCGCAGACCGAAGGCTTCGGCGGCGTGCCCAGAGTACAGGGAGTTGTTGACAACCTGAGGCGTAAGGCTTCATGTACCGAATATCACATATATATATATATACACATATATATATAGAGAGAGAGAGAGCGCTTCCACGAATGTATATACATAGACATATATACAGATATACACATATGGACATACATGGATATACAGTTATCATGGAATGCACATATATATATATATATTCACAGATAGGGTTAAAGGGAGGTGATGACAACGTAGCCATGGAACCATTTACAGGACGTTCCAGGACAAATAAGCGTTATGGCTTAGCATCAGCAGCCGCCTAACCCAACCAGGAGGGTTTGGAGTGGGGTGTAGGGTTTAGGGTACATCCTGTTTTTTTCTGGGAAGCCCGTAAAAACCCCTTGAAAGACCCCTGAAGGCCCTGGGGAGGGAGGTGGCTGAAAGCCCATGCTTGAGATCAGCTTCCCTTGTCGGTTGGTAGAGGGGAGTGGAGGAATGGATCCCCATAGCAGGCCCTATGTAACCTTGCCTAAACCCAAAACCCTAAACCCTAAATTCTAAACCCTAAATCCTAAACCCTAAGCCCGGATAGGTAGTTCCATTGTTTTCCATGCTAATAACCAATCCGGGAAGACCATGAGAGTAAGGAAGAGAGAGGGAGAGATGATGCGTCGATCATCCTGTGTTCACCTTCCACCTGTGCGGAAGGCTGTTATCCGCCATAGCAGCTGGAATAAAAAATAGTAACAATAATAATAAACAATAATCATAATAATAATAACAATAATACTAATAACAATAATAATAATAACAATAATAATAACAAAAATAACAATAATAATGATTTACATATTACCTGGTCATGCCTTAGGCTGTTACCTACACAGAACCCTAAACCCTAAACCCTAAAGATCCCCAAGCCCAATGACGGTGCGAGCCACTCTCTGGTCCAGCGCCTGCGTGCGGCTGATCTCAGCATGCACGAACTCCCAGAACAAAAGGCCTCATGCGATTTAAGGCTAGGGTTTGGGGCTTTGAGTTTAGGGCTTTGTGTAGGATTTAGGGTTTAGGGCCTTGGATTTGGAGCTTAGTTTAGGATTTAGGGTTTAGGGCTTTGGATTTCGGGCTTAGGATTCACGAGTTATACTTTAGGTTTCGTCTGGGTTGCTGTTAGCAAACTTAATTCAAGCTACCACGGAAAGGAAACAGTTGCTTACTACTGTTGGTACTAAAAATCCTGCATGACCTTAGTATACTATAGTACCATTTATCCCAAGGTTCCAGGTACTTAGGGTCATGCAGATTTTCAGTGTCCACCGTATGTCTCCATAGCATGGTAGCTTGATTGTCAGTCCCTGTAGTTGAAAGTCTAAAAGTATTGTCTACAACGGGCCCTAAGGGTTTAGGGTTGAGGCCCCAAAAATCTGTAGATATTGTTGATACTAAGAATCCTGCATGACCCTAATATACGACTATAGTCCCAGTCTTCCCAGGGTATAAGGTACTTAGGGTCATGCAGGACTTCTAGTACCCACCATATTACCTACCGGCCTTGGGCCTTTGGAGCCCAGGAGTGTGACTGAAAAACCCTAAGCTGTAGCAGCAAAATCCGAAACTCTGAACTTTGACAGCAACACCTAAACCCTAAACTTTATGAACACGCAACACTAAACTTTAACAGCAAGACCCCGAACCCTAAACAGCGTGGCTGAACAGCAACATTCGCAGTGTGCATTCCTATGGATCTGAGAACAAGAACTGGAGAATCTCTTTGCCCAACTCGAATTAACAAATCCCTGGTAATTAATAGTATTCAGAACACTAGTACTAGTACTTTAAAAACAGTAATGGTAGTATTGTGTATATCAAAAAGTAGTACAAATCAACCCTAAACCCTAAACCGTCATATTGCGGACCCATGATTAATAAACCCCCGTCCTTTTGAGGGCCTAAATATTAGGATCCCCATTATATCCCTATAAAGGGGATGGGGTTTATTAATCAGGGGTCTGGGTTATATATGTTCCCAAGCTGCATACGATTAAACCAAGTTGGACCTCTGCAGAAAGATTCCAGGTTCTTTGCGAGGTCGAGCCACCAGACGCCCAAATAGAATGTTTAAAAATACTTTAGGGTTTAGGGTTTAGGGTGAGCCCCCCGCCTGTACTAGTGACTATAAGGGATAATACGAATTATCTTAGGGTCCTCTTAAACTCCTATAACACCACTATAACAAGGCTGGGAGGTCCTCCTAACATGTAAAATTCAAGTATCACAACGCTTATAAAGATTCTACTTTTGCCCCAAACACCTCTCTCCTTCCTCGACCTGCAATAGGGTCTGTGACAAATATTAATGGGAAATCCCAAGACACCGTAAGCATTTATGAGGATGGGAATTTCATCTTTGAATGCTGTGTAGCTCTGTCTTTAACATACTTCTATACTTCATGGCGAGGGACAAGCAGGTGTTTTCCGCATCGCCATGAAACCTTGGAACTGCGGTTTAAGGGTTTAGTTTGTAGGGTTTAGGGTTTCTGTTAGTTCCAACTAGGATGCACTTAAGCCCCAAAATCTCTTCATAGGAAACCATGTGGGGGTCTTTAGGTTTTAGGGTCTAGGGTGTTAGGATCTGTTGTGTTTCTGAAGGTGTACGTATGTGTAAGGAGCCAGGCGATGGGCACCGTCCCAACTATAGTTCCCTTGAGTAGATAGATTATGGCTCTGGGTATATCATGATAAAATCCCCATATACCCCATATTCTATCTACTTAAGGGGCACTATACGTTATTCTATGACAGCCTTGAGCCAAATTTAGCAAAGCTCAAGGCCCATACTCACACTTCTAATTTGTTGAGGCCCGGTAAGGACAGAACAAAGCCCTAAACCCCAAACCCTATAACCTAAATAGTAGTTTCCATTGTCTGCAACATCATCCCAAACTACCCCTACATACTTCCCAATAAAAAAATGAACACCTGGCGCAACCCTGACATTCCAAAACTCCCAACAATCCACGCCAGTAAACTCCGAGGAAGGAATAGGATTTAGGGTTCCGGGTTTAAGGTTTAAGGTTTAAGGTTGTTCCCCGGAGGGTCCACTTACACAAGAAATAAAGTACTTGGGATTTGGGTAGTAGTAATTTTAGCACAGGTTTCGGGTAGTGTGTTCAAGCGGTATTACCATTATTAATTTGAAGGGCTTAGGGCTTAGGATGCGCTATTAAGGGTTTAAGGGTGAGGCTGTAGCATTTTACTATGGAAAATCAAATGGAAAGACGATGGATAATGACATGGAAACTAGGTTCATATGGTGGTCTCAATCCATGGGGATAATGAATTGAAACAGAAAATACCATTTAGGGCTTAGGGTCTAGGCGTGTATACATATATATATATATACACATGTGTGTGGTCGTTCCCCATATTCTAGAGCCCAACACATAGTAATCCTAATTATTGCGACGCCTTCTAAATGGTGCACCTAATCAATTTTGGGAAACCACAATACATGTAGAGCAAATTTAGGATTTGGTAAAAAAAAAACCTCAGTACGGAAACCGAATGGCAAAGAACGTGGGAGGAACTTCGACGGTATGAGGTTTTCGGCTCAATGGTTGGGTAAGGGTTTAGGGTTTAGGGTTTAGGGTCATACTATGCAACTTTCATGTCATAGATACTACGACTGAGAAAGGAGTATAAGATAGTACCTGGGTGGACCCCCCACCCAGTAATCAACCCTAAACCCTAAGATACCACCCGATCTAACTTTGGTCTGCCTCACCAGCTAACACATTTGAATTCCAGCTTTTTCCCCTCTATTTCGGCTCATTTTCATTTGTAACCGTATTGTGGGACATAGGGGGCATGCAATGGCATTGTAAGCACCATTATAACTAGGGTATAAAACACCATACATCCAAGCGCTCCAGCTACATGATGAGACGTACCAGGATTTGGGCAACAATAATTCTGGCAACTGTGTTGAGGAACTATGGGAGTTTTGGTTACCTGGACCCTACGGGCAGCAACAACAGCAAGCAGCCAATGTTTACACCGATGTCTTCGAACTCCTGCCACTTGCATGAATGGGCAAAAACTTCGTCGAACAAATGCAGGCGTTGCCTGTGAAAGCGTCCTAAACTCAAGCATGAGCAGATTCTTCCAACATGCATATAGGAAGGGTAAAGTAGGGGCCTAACTTACCAATGATAGAGAATCAATTGGAGAGGAACATGGAAAACAACATGGAAGCTGGGGCTATGTAGGAGTTTACATGGATTCTGTAATGTAGGGGCCGAAACAATTAAATATCAAAAGCTAAATCAGAACCTAAAGTATGAAAACAATTTTAACGCGATTGCGAACCTACTCTTGGACTAAACCTGTTCGGGAAGTTCTGTTCACCTGGAGGAACGGCTGCAGATGGCAAGACATGTTATTTCCGAAAAAAGGAAGACCGCGATAAAGATCCAACGAACAACAAACCTCATTATGGCGCCCGCAGAAAAGTACTCGTAATTTCGGGAAATCCCCACATCGGAAGTCCTGCTGAAACACAATGTCGGTGCCATCCGCCATGCATTCCTGGACAGTGTCCTGCACCTTAGACTTGCTGGTGGTTAGGAGGGAATGCAGGAATGCAAAAATGCAAAAGAACCTGGAAGCTGCTACATTATGAGGAACTATGTACATATATATATATATAGACGGGGATTATTAAAAAAGGTCCTTCTAAAGAAGGGACCATTGGGAATGTACTTTCTTAAAAGGGGATCCTCACTAAAACAAGGGACCAACATTATGCCCATTTTGGGGACAGGTATTGTCATACCTAGAGCAATTTCTCCTTCCCCGACTGACAGACGCCGAGACACTTCTGGGTAGGGACCCCAGAGCCCACAGGGTTTAGGGTTTAGGGCATCATAACAATTGGGTTTAGCGCTTGCGCAAGTCTGATCCACAAGCAAAGTGTATTGGTTGGGTTCTGCCCGCGCCCAATATGCTAGATAACAATTATCTTATATTGTGTTCTACAGCCTTTGACAGTAGCCTTATTACTGACTTCTACAGGGTGAAGGCCAGTACTCACTCACCAACGTTGGTTAGCGGTGGCAACCTTGCAACATGTTTTGCATTGAGCTATAGCTTGGTTGCAGGAATGGAGGTGACCTATAGAGGCTCAGCTCCTGAGGTCTGAAGGGCTTCAATACTTAAAACCTTAACCAGAAGTCCCTAGGCCCGACGACATTACCCTTAATCTCAAGCGCTAAACAAAACTTCAACCCCTAAGACTTGAACCTCGGCCCGCAGCCAAATCTGAGTTTGCCACTGGCTGGAAGTATTGCACATCCACATCAGTGAACATGAAGACTTCGTCGTCTTCCTCAGTAATGAAGGCGCTGTCACAAGAAAAAAGCTGTGGAATGACAAACAACAGGGCCCGTCTCAAAGCAAGGTGATCCAGTATGCGATGATGCAATAACCAAACATGGTCTCTTACTGAGGGTTAGTAGGGAAAAGGGTGTGTGTATATATAGATATATATATATATTTTATACAATCACTATATCATAAATGCCCTTATTCCCTACTAACCCCCAATAAGATCATGAACAATGCTCTGAAACGCTATGCGATACGGCTTGCACTGAACTTAAGCAGGCATAGCTGCGTACTGTCAATCTGTCCCAAACCAATGGCGACCTAAATCAAAGGCCCTGTTCCCTAACCCTTCCCCTTGAAAGGCCCTGTCTGCACCTGTGGGGTTTCGCTCAAGTATCCGCGTAAGGAGTCCATCTTGAGGCCAGGGTAGAGAACAAACAGGGAGCTCCATGTCTGGAGACACCAGAAGCCCAGAAACGTTTGACTGAAAAACCTGCATTGGGCTGGCATCCGCTCGCTATACTATCATGACACAGTGGATACTCCTCGGTCAAGGTCTTTCGCCCCACACCCGTGAACCGTGAATTTACCCTAGAAGCCCAGTGACCTATATATTGGGGTCCTGTCCTTGGGTCCTATATAAACTTACTTATACCATCTATAACCCAAGAACCTACTATATGGGTACCCGGGCTTCTAGGGTTACGTATTGTTATAGCGATGCTGCGCGCATGTTGCAAAGAAAGTATGGGGAACCACTCCCACTCTACCCTAACCCCAATACTAAAGGGACTCAAATGGAAACCCCAAACGGGGAACACCAAGAATATAGCAGGTATATAATACAATATAAGGACCCTGGTAGGTATATTCCTATTATATTCCTACTATATTCTTGGGGTTCCCTGTTTGGGGTTCCCATTGAAAACCCTTTATATACCCGAGACCCAACAAACCCAGAGTAAATCGTGCTGAGCCCTTGACCACTTCTCGGAGAGCTTGGCCGATCTTGGCAGACTTGTACCTGGTTTGTCATTTCCCCAAAAGCCCAGTTATATAGAGGTTATATAGGGACTACATTTAGGGGGCTACCTAGGACATGTGGGTTTGGGGGTTAGGGCCTAGGGAACGTTTCAGAACAGGAGTTTGGTACCTCCAGCACCAAAGAACAGGCATCTTCTACAGTTACGGGGCCCCTGTTATAAGCGGTTCAGTTACCAAAGTACCAACTGGGAATGATTGGGCTTAGGGCTTCAAACCACGAAAGGAACAAAATCCTAAACCCTGACACGCCAACAACCCCAAATTCTGACGCTAAGATCGTACAAAAAAAAGATGGATTGTCCACCAACGAACCCTAAGCAACTGACCCCTACTTATGTTTCATCCCTCCTTTTTGCTGACACCGTCTGCTGATGAGGAATCATGTTTTTGTTTGCAGGAAGGGGGGTGCAAACCAGGTGCATGTCAAGATCAGCAGTCAATTTTTAGGGTTCCTTACGCTGGATATTGAAATTTGTCAGGGTCTAAATAAAGGTGCCCCAAACCATGAAAAGTAACAATGTGGATGTCCTATGTACAGAACCACAGTTCTCTGAAAAATTTCCTGGACCCTGGCTGTCGCGGCTTGCTTGACTCATATCCTATCTAGACCGACTGTCCTTCCTGTTTGCCGTCTGTCTTGCCTTTTAAACTAATTCATTCGGCGACACAGACAGCAAGAAGGACACTCCGCCCAGGTTTTTGTGTCAGATCATGGGACTTGCCCACAAGGTGTTGTCGAGTGTTTCCGGCATATCTACTCACATCTGCCGCGTCGGCCTATTGCAGTACACCCTACACGGAAGAACTGCTAGGATACAAGTATGGAAGTGTTGGCTACGTGCCGTGGCACAGCCGGTTTCGGAGTCAGCTTCAGGGTGAATGGCTTCAGGTTGCGCAGAGTTCCGGCCCTTCTCTGCAGAATTCCCTTCAATGCATCTGCTCAGCTTCACTTCGAAGTGCATATATCCACTGTGAGCTAGTAGACCTTAAGGGTACCTTAACCTACCCTTAATAGGGTCCTAATAGGGCATCTTAGGGTTTAATAGCCCATAGTGGTA